TCACATCCGTTTTGGCTGCTTTCAAATGGATTGGAGAAGTTACAGCATTCAAGACAATTACTATTGGGTTGGGTGTGATAATGACTGTTTTCTCATAAAAACTCTAGGAAGAAGGTTCAGATTTCTCTTCAACTTTTCCAGCTTCAGTGGTTAGAAAAGGCTTTGGTGGAGCTTCTGCATTTTCCTTTGTATTCAAGATTCTCCATGCAAGTTAGGGATGAGAACGGAACTTGTCGACTTCGGAAAAAGAGACTCTTGAAAGGCTAGTTTTTGGGATGTGTTGTTTGGCCCTTTTCGGGTGGAAGAAAATTTATAATTGTACCTGCAGGGATTTGAAAGATTGGTTGGGTAACTTTTTGGGACATGCTAAAAGACTCATTGGTGAATTTCAAAGGAAAGGTATTGCAGGGCGCCTCAAACTTTTCATTTGCAGAGAGGGCTAAGAACAAAGATAGTACGATGGCATTCCCTACCGCAGAGGATGAGATTTTCAAGAAAAGAAAAGGGTGCAATTAAAGGGTGCAACTCTTATTGGGTTCAAAAGGAACATGAAGTTGTGGAAACAGATTGAGATAATGCCATGGTTATCTCAAGGTTTTGTGCTCAGGATAGTTGGAAGGCGATCGCTGCCTCCCTCAAAAGTTTCTTCTCGGAAAATTGCCAAGCTAACCTTTTCTTAGCAGATAAGGCTGAAAGTGGAAGACCCTTGAACTCTGATTGGCTCAATGGTAAATGACGTAAGTTAGATGGATTTCACGTGAAGATGGAGAAGTGGGATCTTGAAAAGAATGGCAGGAATGAAATGATAGTTTTTTTTGGTTGCTAGGTGAAAATCTGCGACCTACCTTTAGAGCTTTGGAACACAAATTGCTTCAAGGTCATTGGAACCCATTTTGGAGGTTTGAAGAAAATCTCTTCAGCAACACTAAATCTGTTAGATTGTTCAGCTGCTTTCATTCAAGTAGAGAACAATGACTGCGGCTTTATTTCGACTTCGATCGAGATAACTACGAAACGTGGAGTGTTTTTGGTAAACGTGGTTGCCTTAAATGAAGCTATCAAACCGTCTTTTCCCTCCGTTCAGCTTTCAAAGACTTCATTGATTGCAGATTCTTCAAATCCTTTGGATATCCAAAGATTGCAAGAAGTCTTGACAGACGAAGAGTTTCAATTTGGCAACATTTCTTATAAGGTTAGCTTGGAAAAGCAGATTGCAACTGTCCCCTCATCTACTCAAAATGCACCAGTTGGCCCAAACATTATGCCGAGTCAGTTGAGCACCCCTATGGTTAGAAAAGAAGTGGGCATTGGTCAAGAAGTGGGCATTATTGGCCCTACTATTTTTCAAAAGCTAAATGCAGAAGCTATTTTGAACCAAAAGTCTAAGGGCAACCCGTTTCCACTAGGTATGAAGAATACTGAACGATTAATTCAACCCCTTCCTTTTTACTACTCTCGTGGGAAACCTAATACTAATTTTTGAAACGAGCTTGCTAAGCCCTCAGTAGCTGAAGGGGTTCAAGTTAACCTTAATAAGGCTTTCTTTGAGGAATGAGAAGTAGTTAGTAAAGATTGTTTGGATAAAGTAAATGTTTTATCCATTGGCACTATCCACTCCACTAACAAAGGTTTGCCTTTTAGATCATCTTCCTTAGAATTCTCGGATAATGATTTTGAAGATGAGGATGACGCAATCTGTATTAGTAGTTTAAACTCTTCTCCAAAGTCAGACATCCCAATTGAGGACTTTTCTGAGCATTCCTTTCCGGACGATTTTCAATCCTTATTTAACGAGCAAAATGAAGATGAGAAACCCATTCTCCCATAGAAAACAACCATTCCTTCCTTTTTTTTTTTGAAGAAATGGGGATTACCTTTGTCCCAATTGAATCTGTTCTCTGAGTTTTAAGTTGTTCGGAATGTTGGAATGTTCTCAATTATGTCTTTGGCAGATTTTAAAGCTTTTCAGTTTTAGTTCGGTTGGTTGGTTGATGAGGTTTTCAAAGTCTTTCTCCAGCGTGTGGTTTGACATTTAGTGGTTTATTTGTGGAGGCTTTTTGAAGACAACATTGAGGCTTAGTATTTTGTGTTTTCTCCTTTTTAGCATTTCTGCCGCGGTCTGTTCTTGTGCCCTAACTTCTACTTAGTTCTTTTTGGAGTTTGGTCTTCGCTCTCGGTGCTAAGGAAGGTTTTTCCCTCATGCAGTTGTTGACCTTGGATTTGGTTTGATTTCCCAAGATCGATATCAAACAGTTTTTCTGAGTACTGTTTTAGAATGCTTTTATCTCTTTTGAGCTTGTATTGCTCTTGTTGCAATATTTATTCTTTATTTTTCTATTTTTCTCTCTTTTTTTTCACCCCCTTGGGGTTTTGTATCTTTAACATTTTTACTTTTCATATATTAATGAAAAATTGTTTCTTGTTAAAAAAATATTGGAAGAGTCAACAACATTAATTGCACCAGCCTGTAACTCAATCACAAAATGAGGCTTTTTGTAAAACTCCTTACTGGAAGTATTGGGAGATGCTGACTTTTCTTTATGAGTAGAGCCCTTAAAACCGTCAGATTTCATCATGAACTGCCTTGTCAAATTCTGGGAAGAAAAATCAAAATCTTGTAACTGCCAGCGATCATCATTAACTCCAGCCTTATCAATAGAATCTCTATTCTCATTTAAGACCGATTGAACATTAAAGCTGATTGGCTGCATGGAGACCTCTGCAGCTGCTCCAATATCATTTAATTCTCGAGAAAGTGGCGTGATTTCGTGCTTATAAGACTGTTGGTTCCATACTTTTCATCTTCCATAATTTGAAAAGCCTTTCACATTCCAAAGGGTTCGAAAAAAGTCCTCTGATCTGCAGAAGACCAATCATGCCTTGCCCAGTTCTTTCAATCAAATCCATTATCATCCGAAGTACTGATCTTGAAGGGGCCAAACTTTGGATTCTTAAATTCAACTGAAGCTGGTAAAAACCCACATTTGTTCCCTTCAACCTGAATGCAAGCCTCAGTGCAATCAATCAGATTAAGAGTTTCTGAGGATATGCTGACCAACCCTCCACAATGGCTTCCAATACCTTCAAAAAATCTGTTTCCAAAATTCAAGAGGTAATCCACGATAACTAAGAATATTAAGGATGAATAAACGACAATTCAACCCAAAAGCTTAAGCTAATGTGTTGGGTAAATTTAGTTCATATATTGGATATCTAATACTCCCCCTCACTAGTAGGCTTGGAAAATAACATCAAGACCCAACAAGTGGAAATTAATAATAAATGGGGAGGAAATGACTACTCAGGGGCTCGAGCACAGGACCTCCCGCTCTGATACCATATTAAGGATGAATAAATAACCATTCAACCCAAAAGCTTAAGCTAATGGGTTGGGTAAATTTAGTTCATATACTGGATATCTAATAAACAAGCTCTTTTCTATCATGCTTTTCGAAACTCAATTTTTCCAACTTTAGATAAAAATTTCCAACTTCATTTTCTTGATTGTTCTTTCTTGCATAGTACCCTTCCATCAACAATTTCCATTAAGGCTTTATCTACCATGAAAGGGTTGATCATGCAATTCTGAGAGTATTTTTACCTTAGAGCCTTTGAAATATCCCTCCAATCATCATGAGCACAACATCTGGATACGACCATCATGTTTTCTCAATCAAGTTTCAACGCTGCTATAGCTTTTTTAACCTAATGGACTAGGCTGACTTCAAATCCCGGAGGCTTTTTCACTACCGAACCTCGAATTCTGTTATGATCCCCTTTCGTTACCTAAGCGTCTTTGTAAACCCCAAATGATCTGCTGTACCATATCGAAGTTGGTCCATATCTTTTGCTCCAGGTCCCTTCCTGTCATCCGTCAGAGGTTTTTTGCCTTTAGCATCCATAGAAGATAAGTTCATCATATTCTTTTCTGAGATGTTTTTTTTTGAACAAGAAACGAACTTTTCATTGATTAATGAAAAGGAACATAAAATGTTCAAAGATACAAACTCTCAAAGGAGTGAAAAAAGATAGCAAAAAATTAAAAGGTGCAACCCATGAAATCAGGAAAATAAGATCTAGTCAACATCCTTTACAAAACTATATAGGAAAGATGAAAGCCCCCAATTAGTATAAATCATATTAGGAGAATAGAGAGCAAAAAACTTACATAGAGCACACCATTGAGAAGCTTTAAACTTAGCCTAATTGAAGCACTCCACCGAAGGTCTTCTTTTTTCCTCAAAAATCCTTTGGTTCCTTTCAAACCAAAGTTCCGAAATGATGGCTTTGACCCCGTTTACCCAAAGAAGACTCGCTTTAGGAGATAAGAATGGGCTGAACAACAGTTGAGTAACATAGAAGATAAGTTCATTTTCTTTTCTTAGACGTTTTGTTCTTCCATGTTTTATTTTTGGCGCTTATCTACTTGGAGATCTTATATATTTGGTGGTTTGGTTTTTTCAAGGAGTTGTATCCTCAAATATTTTTCTATCTTTTCATGTATTGATGAATAGTTTGTCTCTGGTAAAAAACAAAATTGGCAAACTTAAAGAATTGCAGAAACTTGAACAACTTCCTTTATACACTTCTTTATATATACATTTCCCCCTGTTTTATTGAGCTAGGATTTTTCTTGATGGCACAATTTCTTTTTGCAGGTCATGGTGGTTTTGGACACGTAGTATTATGTAAAAATAAATTAGATGGACGACAATATGCAGTGAAAAAAATTCGCCTCAAGGACAAAATACTGCCTGTCAATGACCGCATCTTAAGGTATAATTATTTCAAACCAATAAAGTAAAAGTCTCCAAAAATTACAAAAGCCAACATACAACATTGATGAACAAGGCACCAGAGGAGAAGAAAACAGAAAAATTATCCCATAAGCAAAACCACAAAGCCAAGAAGATTCCAGCAAGAGAGGTTGCTGCAACTCCCTGTAAAGTGGCTAAACACCATGAGGAACATTGAAATCAAACCTTTACTCCGACAATGGATTTGATGCGAGCTTGAAAAGGTTTTCAACGATATCTGAGAATCTATTTGGGGCTTCCTTCATGATGTGCTTAGCACTAATGATAGAGGTATTTTCTCTCGGAGAAGGAAGAAAAGGCTCAATTTCCAGGTCGTCTTGATTCCATTCCAAATCTAAATTGGTGCTATTGAGACTAACATTTGAATCATCACTAGAATTAGAAAATTATTCTTCTAAAACACCTTTAGTAACATCACCATTAAGGTTTTTCATATATTAACTATCACTAGATCCACTTTCTTGTACTTAAGAGTTGGAAGTTCATCAATGTTGTACTTATGATTTGGCAGTCTTTAGGTTAGCTGCGACTTAGTTATCCTTGCCTTTATCATCCTGTCGGCCAAACTTCTTCAGCTCTTAAAGCTGATGTATCGGGAGGAGGGTGGTGGCACTAAGTTTAAGGATAGTCTAGGTGGTCATCATGCACACACTTTTGAAGACAGATGTTCTAGTAGATCTCTTTATGAAATTGTTAAATGCTAGTTCTCATATAACTGCGAGAGAGGTAACATACTCTGCGTGACAAATTGGTAATTTTCTATTATGTCGGCTAGACTGGTCTTCACTTGCTATGTTAAATCTATATCCTGTCTTAGTGCGGAACTGTGTGAAGGAAGAACCTTGCACAACATTAAAAATTGTCCAGAATTTGGTTGTACAATACAAATGCTGTGTTGTACTTGGTTAGGTGGGATATTGCCTCTCGTTGCAAGGAAGAAGGTGGTTTGGGTCTTGGGAGATTGTTGCAACCGCTAGTATATAAACTTCAGCTCTTTGGAGGCAAGTTGTGGCAAACATTTATGGTATTGACCGTTTTAACTAGAAACATTGTGGCAAGCATTTATGGTATTGACCATTTTAACTGGAATGTTTCTGGGAAAAAAATTGGTAGTCGTCGTAGTCCATGGTTTTGCATTAAAAAACAGTGGTTGGTGGTGACAAACTTCACCTTTTTCAGTGTTAAGAATGGCAAACGAGTTCTATTTTGGCACCATTTATGGTTGGGGGATTCTATCTTAAAGGATAGGTTTAGATCCTGATTTTGGATCTCTTCTTCTCCTTCTACGTCAGTCCATGATGCTTGGGACTCACATTCTTCTCCTTGGAGAATTGAAGTTAGGAGAATGCTAAATGATGAAGAATTGGAAGAATATTTATCTTTGCTATCATGTTTAAATCCGGTTCAGCTTTGTGATGATGAGGATTAGTTGAAATGGAGTTTAAACTCTTCAGAATCCTTTTCGGTTAGCTTCCTTTGTAATCCTAGAGTTGGTTCTTCATCTCTGCCGAAGGATTTTGTTTCAAGATTGTGGAATTCGTGTTGCCCAAAAAGGGTGAATGTTCTATCATGGATTCTCCTTAATGGAAAAGTATATACTTCCGAAACTCTCCAAAAGAAGCTGCCTAACATCTCCTCCAACCTTCTATATGTGTTAAAGGATATACTTCCAAAACTCTCCAAAAAAAGCTGTCTAACATCTCCTCCAAGCTTGTATATGTGTTTTGTGTGTTGCCACTTGTGAAGACCAAGCACATTTGTCTCTTTTGTCCTTATGCATCAGTTTGCTGGTATCTCTTCTTTCATATGTTCAATTTAGCTTGGGTAAAGGGCAAGTCAATATCTTCAACTTTCAGTTGCTATTTGGTCCTTTCTTTTCGCCTAGCAAGTCTTCATTGGGTAAACGGTCTTAAAGCGCTTATACCTGAGTTATGGTTTGAGCGGAATCAAAGGACTTTCGAAGGAAAAAGCCGCTGCTTCAATATAGCTAAGTTCAAAGCCTCACAATGGTGTGCTCTCTCCAACCTCTTTGCAAATTATTCTCCTAGCATGATTTGTTCTAATTGGGAGGCTTTTTTGTGTAATGTTTAAGATTCCTTTATTAAGTTTGGTTTGTTTGTATCTTTATTTTTACTTTTTCCTTCTTTGTCCCCTTCTTTTCGCCCCTTTGGGGGTTTGTATCTTTGAACAAATTTTGTTCCTTTTCATTTATGAATGAAAAGTTTGTTTATTGTTCAAAAAAAAGTATCTTCCTTACAAAATAGTATTCGCCAAAGCGAGCATAGCTCTGATTGTCATATACTTCCAACCATGAGGTTGTGAGTTCGATTCCCCACCCCCACATGTTGTATAAAAAAAAAAAATAGTATTCACAATCCTCAATGCTTGCAAAAGTGTCCAACTGTCAAAAGAGAGTTCGAAGCTTTCCTCCCAAGGCTACCCCTACCAAAATACAAATGATAACTTTTCCGACACAAAAGCATACAAGTACTTCTTACACAAAAGGCTTTCCCCCTAACTACGGGGAGGGGAACTGACCTCCTTATCCTTCCTAGCATACATATTTACTATAGGATTCACATGCTGCTTCTATTTTTTTTTTCAAATTTTATGCACAACTTCGTTTTCAAGTTTGATACTTACATAATGCATGTTTTTGAATTTATTTTGTTGAGGTGTTAGGGAGGTGGCCACTCTTTCCCGTTTGCAACACCAACATGTTGTTCGGTATTATCAGGTAATTGACTTTTTGAAAAGTTTATTTTCATATTACGAGGCGGTGCCTCAAGTCAATATTTAGTATTTTTGATGCACGAAGAAATTCATGTTACTTGCATGAATCACACCACTAGGGTGAGTGTTTGATGTGTCTAAAAAATGTTTTGCATAGAATTTATCTTTAGATGGCATGCCGTGTGCTAGAGTATGTAAGGTTTCCATTACTATTTTGTTATTCAAATAGAAACAAAGGCTGTCAGGCCATACAAGTGCCATAGTCTTTTTGAGAGGATTGGGAAGCTCTCCTACCTAGCCTTGCAACAAGCACAAAATAAAACCTACCTCTCTAACCTCCTACCAAGACAATATAATCCCCTCAACCCCAACCAACCATACAAAGATTTCCCTAGTAGTCTATAGAATAATTCCCTTTCCTCTTTCCTAGTGTAGGTAATTACTGTTGAAGCCTTACGTCACCCCAGGGTCGAAGACACCTTGTCTTCAAGGTGAAAGTTTTGAAATTGGCGCTTGAAGGTTGAAATTGATTCCCACGTTGCTTCACTCTTAGCCATATTCTTCCAGTAGAATCCCCTGCCGCTTTCTTCAGTTGGTATACATGAAAGACAGGGTGAATAGTTGAGTCTTGAGGCAGTTTTAGCTTGTAGGCAGCTCTTCCAAATCGTTCGAGTAAGGGTGTTCAAATAACCAGACAACCCGAAGAACTGGGTTGGGTTGGGTTAGATAAAGGCTCGGTTTGGGTTGGGTTGTGATTTTTCTGAATCGAGCAGTTTGGGTCGGGTCACGGGTTCACTGTTAAAAAATTCAAGTCAACCCGACCCAACCTGAAATTATAAATGTGTATATATATTTGTAAATTTGAGTGAATAAAAATATTCTGCTATATTCAAACATGTAACTTGGGTCTTCTTATATAGGAGAATGACTTACTAAAAACAAGGAAAGCAATAACTACCATAAAGACTAAATATCAACAATAAAGACTAAATTTTAACAACTAATATTGACAACTAATATTTACACAAATATTGATAAATCCAACACTCCCCCTCAAGCTGGTTTGAAGATGTCGTCCATAGCCAGCTTGCTGATTAAATTGTCGAATTGTTTCTTTGGATGTCCCTTAGTTAAAACATCGGCAATTTGCTCTGTTGTCGGAAGATTAGGGATACATATTGCACCTGCATCAATCTTCTCTTTAATAAAATGTTTGTCAAACTCGATATGTTTGGTTCGGTCATGTAGCACAGAGTTATGAGCTATGGATATGGCAGACTTATTGTCACGATAAATCCGTATAGGTGTCGAGATCTTCAATTCTTCAAGCATCCTTATGATCCATATACCTTCACAAATTCCATGAGGCAATGCTCTAAACTCTGCTTCAGCACTACTCTTGGCCACTACATTTTGTTTTTTTGCTTCTACATGTAACTAGATTTCCTACAAGAAAGGAACAGTAACGAGAAGTAGATATTCTATCAATAGTACTTCCAGCCCAATCTGCATCAGTATAAATTTCTACTTGGGAGTGGTTATTCTTTTCAAATAAAATACCTTTTCCAGGAGTTCCCTTCAAATATCTCAAGATTCTATATACAGCTTCAAAATGAGTTGGTCTAGGTGCATGCATGAATTGACTTACCATAGTTACAATAAATGCAATATCTGGTCGCGTATGTGACAAATAAATTAATCTTCCCACAAGTATCTGGTATTGTTCCCTATCCTTTATTTCTTCTGCGTTTGTTGCTTGTAATTTCAAGTTAGGTTCAATAGGAGTTTCTGCGATCCTGCAACCAAGCAATCCTGTTTCTCCAAGTAAGTCAAGAACATATTTTCTTTGATTAACGAATATACCTTTCTTCGATCTTGCGAATTCCATCCCTAGAAAATATTTTAATGTTCCTAAGTCCTTGATTTGAAATTCACTTGCTAGATTTTTCTTAAGATCAGCTAGTCCAGCTTCATCATCACCAGTGAAAATAATATCATCTACATAGACAATCAGAATTGAGATTTTATTATTGTCAGAGTGTTTATAAAATATAGTATGGTCAGCTTGACTTTGAAGAAATCCATAACTCGATATGACTTTTCCGAATCGTTCGAACCAAGCTCTAGGAGACTGTTTGAGGCCACAGAGAGATTTCTTTAATCTGCAGATTTTATTCCATCCGAGTTCCTTTCAAAACCTGGAGCTAAATTCATAAAAACTTCTTCCTCGAGATTGCCATTAAGAAAAACATTTTTCACATCAAGCTGATGGAGATGCCAACCTGAATTAATTGCAAGAGACAAAAGAACTCTAATAGAGTTAATTTTTGCAACAGGAACAAACGTTTCTTGATAATCTATCCTGTAGGTTTGAGTGAAGCCTTTAGCTACCAATCTAGCCTTATATCTCTTGATGCTACCATTTGCGTTACATTTTACGGTAAACACCTATTTACATCCCACTTGTTTCTTATCTTTTGGCAACTCTACTATCTCCCAAGTACTGTTTTGCTTTAGAGCATTCATCTCCTTCATGACAGCTAGTTTCCAATTTGGATCTTCTAAAGCTTCATGTATATTCCTTGGAACAAATAAATTAGTTATCCTAGATGTGAAGACCTTATGACTATTTAATAGCTTCATATGAATTGTAGTTCGAAATAGGATATTTGGTACAATTTCGAATGCTTTTTCTAATGGCTATGGGAACATCAAGGTCAGAGATATCAAGTGAATTATTTTGAAAATTTGAAGAAGAGGGATTAACAGACAAAGTTGAAGAGGGAGGATTATCAAATAGTTCAGTTTCATTTCTCGGAGTCTCAGATTGGCTTTGTGAAGGAGTAACTATTTGATCTTGGTTCTTCTAATTGAATTTCATTCTAGTATAGAACTTTAACTCAAAACTAGGATTCGCAGAATCATTTTGTAGTATTTCTCCCCCTGATTGGACCGTTTCTATACTTGGCATTGAAGGACTAGTAAAATTCGAACAGATTGGACTAGGAAGATGAACAACAATATCCCAGAAATTATCTTACAAATTTATTTCCAAATTTATTCTCTCTCCCAAAGAGAATTTTGGGTAAAAATATGGTTGATTTTCTAAAAAAGACACATCCATACTCACAAAAAGTTTTTTTTGTCTAAGGATCAAAACATTTATAATCCTTTTGACCTGAAGCATAGCCTAAGAAAATGCATTTAAAAGCGCAAGGGTCAAGTTTTGATCTGAAATGACTAGGTGTGTGAACGTAAGTAGTACACCCAAAAACTAAAGGTACCTTCATCAAAGTCGTAGAGACCATCAAACATCCTACTGTGACCAATTATCCTCTCCAAGTTCTGATTCTGAAAAATACAATGGGATTCAAAGAAAGTAATACGACAGTTAGAATCTTTAGAAAGTTGGTTGACAGATAAAAGATTACAGGCTAATTGTGGAACATGGAGGACAGACTGTAACGAAATGATCTCAGTCAATTTAATGGTTCCTTTTCCTGCAACAGAAGAAAAACTACCATGAAAAACTACCATCTGCAATTCTAACTTTTTCATTGGAATATGAAGGAATGTATGATTCAAGGAGATTAGAAGAACTTGTCATATGATCAGAAGCTTTAGAATCTATAATCCATGGAGATGAGTTACTACACGAGAAAGCCTTAGAATAAATACCTGTTTGTGTCAAGGATACACATGAGTTATTAGAAGGTAAATTGGAGGATAGCAATTCTAGAATTTGATGAATTTGCTCTATACTTGAGTCACCACGACTATCACTAAACATTTCTCTATCACTGTCAATTGAGATTTGGACAATTTTAAATAAACAAATTGCCGTGAACAAAAACTGACAACAAAACCATACCACCAAATAGTAATTAACCAAATCAAATCAGGCTACAAATTGATATTAGAAAGGAGATAACCATAACCAGGAGAGTCAAACCAACTCAGAAAAAGTTATGCCAGATGAACCAAC